AAATTCAGAACAATTAACAACTATTCTGTTATATCATGAAAATGTCTCTGATAAAGCTCGCTGTATCAATCTCTTAAATTTAAATTGCCTAAATTATAAAACAACTTTAATAAGATAAAAATGTATTAAGTTCTTAAAATAGAAAACGGAGGTGGCCCAGTTTGTCTCATCATCATTGCAAAACTACTTAATCCTTCATCGCCATTATTATGACTATTTTGATTATTTTGTGAACTATTTAGATTTTTATTTCTACTACTATTATGACTTTGCAAGTGTTTTTTTAAATGATCCTTTCTATAAAAAGCTTTGCCACATTCTGTACAAACTTGATTTTTGCTACCAGAGTGAATAATCATATGACGTGCAAGATGTTCATTGCGTTTAAATGCTTTGCAACACATATTACACTGATAAGGCCTATCTTTATTATGTCCTTGTTTATGACGATCTAGATGTTCTTTGCGTTTTAAACTTGCACCACAAATATCACAGATGTGGGGTCGTTGTCTATGATCCTCTAAATGTTCATGTAATGCTTCTCTGTCTTCAAATCTATATGCACATTCTGGACAATGATAAATTAACATACCTGAAATTATTAAATATTTATATCAAAATTTATAATACATATTTTTAGATATAAAAAAAAGTATAAAATATATATAACTTATATTTTCTAGATTTACTAGATCTTTTTAAATTTTTTATATTTACCATTGATATGTTGTGGTTCAACTTCAAATTCAATTTTCGGTCGAATTTCTTGACAATTATGAGTTGAATTATTGCTATTTTCTTCATATTTAGTTACATATGGTAAACCTAATGTACTAGAACATCGTGCTAAATATTCAGAAGTAAGTCTAAAATCTATTTGTAATGGATCAGTCATGGTTGCTGCATCTACTTTTTGAATAGTCTGTGTACCCGAAGATTGATGAGATATTTGAGAACATGTTTCCTTATTTCCACAATTATTTTCATTTCTATTTTCATCTGTATGTTGAGCATGTGATACTGGATGTCCAGAATATGTATATCCAGTCATATTAGGTTGATTATGTTGATGATTGTGCATTTCAGATGAATATTTTATATTACGTGTATCATAAGCCATTTTTTAATATGTAACAAAATAAATTTGTTTATCATTTGCCTATAAATATAAAAATAACGTAATAAAAAATCAACAAATAATGATAAATATAAAAATATATATTACAATTAAAAAAATAACAACTAATACATAACATAATCTTATTAAAAAAAATTGCATTTATAATTTAAAAGAGTTTCATTTTTCCATTTTAAAAAACTGAATAAAAATATTTTATTTTTGTAATTTCTTAAAAAGATTTTGGTAAAACTGTGAATAACATATTAGTTTGAATATGAAAAACAATTTGAAAAAATTCACATATGAAGACAATTTTATCGTAAATTCAACGTAAATGAGATCGTAATGAGAAATTTTATTGAGCAGGTCAGGATAAGTGTCACTTAGCATTAAATATTTTCGAAAATTTTAAATATTCTTAAAAGATATTAAAATAATTGAAAAACAAAACTATTTATCAATATTATATACGTGAATTAAATTTACTCACCCCCTAGGTACAGAGTCAGTCGTAAAATGAGCACGTCACTGATCACTATTTGTTTGTATTGAGCTTGGCCATCTTTACACATCAGCTGCTATACAAATTCCGAGTCCTTCTTCTAACTGGCTATTTATTTTACAAAAATATGTGTGATTCACAAAAAAATATTTAGACGCTGCCATAATTTTGATTTTTATGTACTGTATTTGAAGTAAACATATATAAAACAACAAAAAAATTTGTAATATGTTAAAAAATATATTAAAATATAATAAATAAATATTTAAATGTCAAAAAATAAAGCTTTTTTCGATAAACTTTAAAAAATTTTTAATTTACATATATGAGCTATTATAAATTACTATAAATATTAAAAAAATATCGAAAAAAAATCGAAAAATTTTTGCATTATAAATATATTTGAACAATTTACAAATTTAGTTAAAAAAATTAATATATATATATATATATATATATATATATCATGATAACGTATGGTTTATTTATTTATAAAAAATTATCAAACTGATTATACGATTATAATTATAATTAATAGCAGTATATTTATTTTGCAGTATATTTATTGTATTCTACAATTTCATTTTGAAATATAAATGTTAATTATATGATATAATGCTCGCAATAGAAANCTCTCTTTTAAAATTAAAAATATTTTAATGATTAGTTTTTAAATATTTACGATAATGATATTATTTTTATTTAAATTTAAATTTTTTTTATTTAAATCTTATTTAAATTTATAAACGATAAGACAAAATATGAATGCATTTTCATAATGATAACATTTTGCAGTAAATAAATTAATATTTCAACAATTTAATTTATTTTTTTTATATAACAATAAAATATACGGAAGTATATTTAATTATAAAATATAATAATAAAAAATTATAACAACTTTATAAAATTTGTAACTTTAATAATTTAAAATAAAAATCGAAATGAATTTTTTTTTCAACAAAAAATTGATGAGAGATGTAAATATAGGAGATGTAAATATATATATGAAAGTTAATGTAAGTACACATAATGAATCATGTGTTTGTATATTTAAACTTATTATGTACAAGGATTATATCATAATAAAACAACGATTATATAGTTATATACGTATTTTGTCTATAAGAACTCGTAACATTCGTATATATAATATATGTTGATCACATGATCGCGATGTGATCATATGTAACAAAATTTAATCGTAAATTCGCTATTCTCTTTTTCTTTTATGTCAAGAAATAAAGAAATAAAGAATAAAAGTGTATATCCAATTCGTAAAAATTGATTCGAAATATGAATATTTCTTATTCCAAATATATTTAATTACAAAGTATATGGCATTTAAGATCTTTTATATTTGCAAATATAGAAGTAATTATATTATAAATCAATAAAGATCAATAATATAAAATAAAAATGTAAAAGTAATGACGATGAGTTATTATCGCTTGTATTTAATAAAATATTTATTTATGTTATTATTGAAATGCAATTTCTGCAATATACTCGTAAAATATTTTTTTAATGAAACAATGAAAAATAATAAATTAATATTCGTTTGAGCTTTGGCAGACGCTTGCGAACAATAGATTATCTTTGTTATCAGTGTTCAGTATCAGTAAATAACAAGTGTTCAGAAATATTTAGAGCATACAACATAATATCTCAAATGATAAAATTCTAATCATATCACAAAAACCAATAAATCAATTTTATTCATATATTTTGTGAAATAAAAATGAACATCTTATGAAATACTTAGACGTTGAGCAAAGATATTTAACACATATACCAAAATTCAAAATTTAAAAAATTTCAAATTTTATAAATATCGTGTTAAATTATAATTGTTTGTATTATTTTTATCTCGATTCTTTTTTGTGTTTTTCATATTTCACATCTTTTTTTAAAATATATTTAATATTATAATATTATATATAATAAAATAATAAAGAAAAATATAAAATAATATAAGAAAAATATTTTCTTTAAAAATAATATAATTTTCAATCAATGCTACAAGTTATCATTTTCACATGGCATGGAATATGTTATTGAAATTATTTAAAGTCAATTATAATACGAGTAACAAAGGAACATATCTTGCATATAAGTTGTAATTTACTACGAATAAATCCGACAAAATAAAATTTATAATTTCGTTACGTTGTTGTATGAAATAATATGCTCTTTTTTTTTTTCTTTTCAAAGAATATCATTTTATGTAACGCAATATAATTTTATTATATCTCAAATTTTAGGAGACATTGGAATACACGTGAATAATAATAAAGTATATGGTAATAATACAGTCTCAACATCATCTACTTTCGCGGTTCATGAAAAATCGAAGATATTATCGGCGTGCGGATCAGCTACGTGTATACATGTGCAACAGCATCTTTTTGTTTCAATATTAAATAAATAGTAAATAAATCTTGATAATTCTTAAGTCTATTCGGATCTCATTATTGTAATGAATATTCCCGAAATTTGATCAATATTCGTTTTTCAATTTTGCGAAGAAATATGAAATAAATAAATATTTTTTTGGAATGTTTTTTAATCATGTTTGTTATTAACAATGAAGATTTCTCCGATAAGCTTTAAAAAAAAATGAAATGTATTTGAATCAAAATATTATTTTTTCAAAAAATTCAAATCCATTTTTTACAAATTTTTTTTTCTTCGCTTTTTTTAGTCAATCATAATCTAACATTTTCTCAAGTTTTTTACAGTTTGTCGTTTCGTTATTTTATGATTTAAAATAAAAATGTCGAGAAAATTAGTTGCAATGTGATGAAAATTATATCTAATAAGAGATAACATCTAAATGAGAATCTCGTTCTCAATGATACAAAAATCGCGTGAAGGAATCTCCTCTATTCGAATTCCATCTTTTCGAATGACGATTTTCTACAATGTTCAGTCTCTCGGAGAAATTTTTTTACCGAAAATACGTACATTTATATATACTTATATAATTAATATGATATACGTTGTTCAAAAGTGCTTTTTTGTTAATTACACAAAGAACAAAGTTACATTACGCGACATTTTTTTTTTTATTAATACTATCTACTGAAGAGTCGCGGACATAAAATTAACAAAGCATCACTACAATTCCATCTTCTTTTTTTATCTTATGTTTCTCGAATTTCTAAATGTATATATATATATATA